GACCCGTCCGCAACCAGCAAATTTGTCATATTTCAAACCGCATCCGCCCGCATTATATTTGCGAAACCGCCCATTTATATGCGGATTGGGCGGGTTGGGCGATTTGAGCGGTTCGGATAAACCGTTGCCCACCCCTACTATGTTGTGTTTGCAGGAAGACAACCTAGAATTTACACAGACTGGAACGAAGTTATAACGATCCCGGCTTTCCCTTTCGTGTTTAACTATAATCCGGATTCGATTTCGTAAGGGTGCCGTTGTCTTATCCTCTTTCCATCCCTTCCTCTTTGTGTTCGAGCTTTGGGTCGTGTTGGGCAAGTTGGGAATAGGTCGGTTGTGTTTTAAAACGTAAAATCTTCGCCCAGTTTTTGGTCTCTCCGCTCGAGCTGCGCTTTTGACGCCTGAGCGGGACTCTGTTGTTGTTTGTCCGTTCAAGCGGGGTTGTTGGCGCTCGAGCGGGGAAATCACCCATCCAGTATTTCGTCTGCAGTGGTAGACGCTCGAGCGAAGGATTGGCCGCTCGAGTGGGAGTTTGTGTCTGACGCTCGAGCGGGGGGTTTGACGCTCGAGCGGGAACCATGTCTGTAAAAGTTCTGGGAGCATGCATCTGCCGCTCGAACGGGGGATTGGACGCTCGAGCGGGGATCTGTGAGTGACGCTCAAGCGGGGAGTTTGGCGCTCGAGCGGGGCGACTTTTATATAAAGCCGAGATCCGACTTTTTTGTTCACTTTTCAACATCCTTTCTCTCTCTTACTTTTCCAAAAAGCTATTTTGAGAGTTCCTCTCACTAAAACCCTAACTTCTCTCTTAGGATTGATCTAGTAGGAGTTGTTTCCTCACCTTGGGCCTTTACAAAAGTTGTGTTGATCGTCGAGGGCTATCTTTTAATCTGAAAATTTCGGGATTTGGAGCATTTTCGTTTCTTCATCTCCTTCGTTGAGTCCCATCATTCGAGGTAGGGATAACCTACTCCATCTTATGAGCTTTGTCTTTGAATTTTAGCACTTTGATGCGTTGGGGGTTTGTTAGGGAATTTTGAGAAAGTTTGGGGCCTTTGCGTAATTTTACAAAAGTTGGGGTTTAAAATATATAAACCTATATGCATGTCTAGCACAGAGAAATGAGATTTATGTTGGGACATTGATGGAAATGGAACCTTAGGGTTGTTTTGTGAATTATGATAGTTTATCCTAATTGGTTTAATTAATTAATGCATATAATTAATTGAAGAAAACGAGGAGTTGAATTGAGAATGTTGCTATATTATCTATTTGTGCATTTATTTCCTGCTTAGAAATAATTGTTTTGGGCTACCGGTGGAGGGTAGTATTGATTGTTGTAGACAATACATGATGATTAGGCAAACTAAAACTAATCAATTGGATGTGTCATAGAGTATGATGGTTGATAGGATACATTAACTTTATGTATCTGTGGATTGTGCATGTGACCAATGTGTTTATATGCATTATGTGTAGACGGTTGATAGGATACATTAATCTTATGTATTGATTGATTGCGTATGTGATTCTGTGTTTATATGCCTTACTTGTGTATGGGAGGAGATGGGGGATGTACTCCACGGTTTAGGGGAAGATGAGAGATATACCTCTAAACCGGTTAATGGTTTAGGGGAAGATGGGGGATGTACCTCTAAACCGGTTCATGGCTAAGGGAAGATGGGGGATGGACCCAGGGATGCAGCTCATATGCTCACCCATTGAAGTATTGATATAGCTCATATGCTTATCTATTGAAGTGTTGATACAACTCATATGCTTATTTGTTGAAGAGTTGATACAACTCATATGCTTATCTATTGAAGTGTTGATACAGCTCATATGCTTATCTATTGGAATGTTGATACAGCTCATATGCTTATCTGTTGTAGTATTGATATGGCTCATATGGTTATCTATTGAAAAGTTTGTTTGATTTGATATAGCACTAAAATGTATATCATCATCGTTTGTGAAAATGGAAGTAGTTTATGTGCTATTGATACAACACCACAATGTGTATCCACCTTGAATTTCGAAAAGGTTCTAGTGATGAACTATAATCCCATCAAATGTTTTGGCCAGAGTATTGAACCTTGTTTTCAAACCCAAAGTTGAATAAGAAATGGAAGGTGAATTGTAACCTAGACTTAACCGTCATAGAATCGTAATAAGATGTAAATGAAAGTGTCAGTGTTGACCATCTATCAGATGCTAATTTCTTAGTCATTGTTCATAGTTGGTTTAGTATATTTCTACTGGGCTGTGGCTCACCCTATATGGGAACATCATTTTCAGGTACAGGTAGCATGCCACCTCCAAGAACATAGCTTGAGAGGCTAGAGACGGACAGACTTTTGTTGTCTTAATTCTTTTTGGATGTATTACGTGTAAATTCAAGCCAAGGGCTTAATGTGCATTTGAGTTAGTACTCTATTTTTTTTTGCAACCAAGCGTTGACTTGGAAAGCTGTAAGCCCGTAGGGCATTTATTATTGTTGTTAACTTGTAATGCTACTGTAAGAACTACTCGGATGAATTGAAGAATGTGGATCTTTGTATATAAATGTAGGTTTATATTGTTGGGTTTAATGTCTTTTCTTTTTAGGGCGTTACAAAGTTAATCTGCAAGTTTGTGGTTATTCAGGAGCGAGCTATAAAGCATATGATAGCATGACTAAAGCAAAAAAAGCTTTTTACAGTGCACCCTCTATGCCAGTTTATCAAAGAATTTTTGTCAAATGAGAACTAACCCAATTCCAGCTAATATTCAGACATCTAGACCAGATAAATCTGAAATAAAGATTTTTTCAACCCTGGTATATCTAGAGAAATTTATACAGAACTCAATGGAGTTTGGAAAACTCACATTGTAGACAACAAAGTGAAATTTCAAAAACACATGGGAGTTCTGGCCAACAAATTAGCTGAGCAAACAGCTAAATTAAAAGATTTGCAAAATCTTTGTTTCAATATTCTTAAACAAATGAATTGGAATGAAGATTTTAATTTTGAAAAAATAAACAATTTTCTTCAACTATCAGACCTCATATCAGATGAGTTTTTTGATCCAGTTTTTGAACAAATAAAAAGAATTTGTCTTTTTGAAAAAGCAAGAACTTTGCTTCCAAAAGAATTTTTTATATTAATAAAAAATCGAGTTGAAGATCATCATGATAAGATTAGACAAATCTTAGAACGATCTTATGATAAATTAAATTTGAAAGATGGAATTCTCAAAATAACCATCATGGCAAACCATGACATGTGGTTTTTTGAGGATATAGATTGGGGAACAACTAATCAAGTTATTTTCCAAATTTTAGATCCAATCCAATGGATAGATTATCCAATGATCATCAAAGCAATGCTCTCATGGATAGTAAAAGGCTTTCGATGGAGCAAATATTTTACTTTCTGGATCTCCAGCACTGTTGGTTGGCGAGAACGAGAACATTTTTTCCAACCATACCAGATTTGGTATCTTAAAGAAACTGAAGATTTTGAATTTGAAGATGATTATTTAGATGAAGATCACCGGAGAGAGCGATTGGAAAATATCCAAAAACTTTCTTTGACAGAATATTGGATAGACAGTCTAATATCTGTTTCACAAGCAGCGTCCAACATCCATGGCTCAGCAAAATTGCCATTCATGGTTACAGATGGTAGAATATTATTTGTAACCTATTTTCCCATAACATATCAAAGATCTCCTACACAAATTAATGAGGCTCTTGACATGTTAATAAATCTCAAAAAGAGAAATAATTTGGATCTTCCGTTGGAACTAGCCATGATCGCAGATGATGTAAAACATTTCCAGAATGAGCAATACAACCAAGATCTGGATTCCCCTCCATCAGAGACTGATGAAGAATATCACAATCTCATCAACAGGATGGAAGCATAGTGGACCCCACTATCAAATGCAGTTGTCTCCTGGTTGACTCCAACCTTATCCAGGACACGTGGAGCAACCTACATTATTAGGCGGAAAGTGATCAGCCACATCCTTTCAGCCGACGCTACACAACAAAGCCGCTCAGCCAAAACTTATCTACAATAGTCTATCTCTTTGAAAACCGGGGAGGGTAGACAGTGTGTATCAGTGTATATAATTGTGAAAACTGTAGCACAGAGTAAATAATTGTAGTTTTTCCTTTAACTATTTTGTCTCTTTGTATTTACTTTTATGAAGACTTTTCATAAAGTCTATGACTAGGCTTGCCTAAAGTGTTAGAAACTTTGCAACTTTTGGACGAAAAGTCTTGCAAAGTTAGATATGTTAGATATGCATTAAGTTATTTTTTTGTTTGTATTTACCTTCTTGTAAATCTATATATTGGCCTTTATGCCAACATAATGAAGTATGTAAATTCTCTCCATATTCTCTCCATCTTTGAGCTTCCTTCTTTGTCTCTAATTTCTCTACCTTAATTCCATAACGTCACAATAATTCCATAATAAAAATAGTAACAATGATATGTTTGTATATAGTTATTATATATGAGCCATATTATTATTAATGTCTCTAATAAAAATACACACTAATACTATAATTTATAATTTTAGGATATACACAAGTATCTTAAAACTAACTCATTATTATCATAGTCAATGTTGTATCACAAATTCCATGATTTTATTTGTACTTCTTGGCCATTTTACTTTTTATTTTAAAATAATCCTTCAAACTTCATATTTTTTTCAATTAATTTAATACATATATTTTAACAAAATAAAATAACCCAAAAAATATATATCCACGTAGTGGAGCACAAATTTAGGCCAAGTTTGGCATCTACTAAATAATACAAAAAGTCAAAAAGTTACTATCCTATTTAAGTCACATCATCTTATTTAAATCACATCACCTCTCTAACACATCATATCAAATCCAACCCAAACCCAACCCATATAAGTCAATAAGTCAAAAAGTACACTTTTTTAGAACATCCCAAACCAACCCTTAGTTTAATTAGGCGGTAGGTTTAGTTCGGCCCAACTTTTAGCCTGTTGGGCCCTCGGGCTTTCGTCAGTGTACAAAAGCCCATCGGGCGAAGCTGTATCAGGATTTAGGGTTTAAGGTCGCAACATCCCCAAGAATCTCTCTCTCTCTCTCTCTCTCTGCGTTCTCTTTCTTCTGTGGTTCAGGTAATCATCAATACCTCGTTTCCTATTCTCTTCACCGTGTTTCGACCTATCATGATTGTATATAGAAATATTCAATTTGTATACCTTTGTGTCCATGCCTCAGTGTAACTATAGCATCATAATTTGATTAATCAATTGAATCATTGTTTTCTCATTGAACTTGATGATTTGTTGTTTTGTTTGTTTGATTATCGCTTCATGACCTAATATTAATGTTGTTCAGGATTGAATTCATAAATTGATTCTTGTTTTGTGTGATAGATCTCTAGGAACAATGGGAAAGAAGAGGAAACATAGTGAAGCAGAGGTTGCTGTAACTGTAAAGAAGGATGAGAGTGCTGAAGAGAGGCCTAAAAGAACACTTTTGGGTTGGAAACATAAAGATAAGATTGAAGAGAAAGTAACTGATTCTACAGTTTTTAGAAATAAAGAGAAAGTTTTGGTCACTTGTTCTCGCCGCATTAATTACAGGTTGATAATTGAAATTTGTTATCAAATTTTGTTTTCTAAAATTTTTCCCATGCTGGAAATGTTCTTATTAGTCCATGACAATGACATTTATGAATTCTATGGTATTTAGGTATCGACATTTGATGTTGAACGTCGTGTCACTTTTGCCCCACTGTAAGAAGGATAACAAGGTTGAATCTAAAGCAAGTAAAGGGGCAACTCTGAATGAGCTTGTTGAACTCAAAGGCTGTTCTTCTTGCCTGTTTTTTGAGGTAATTGTTTTAATTGGTTCTCTTTTGGTAGTAATAAGTAGTGTAGTGCTTGGCCCTGTTTATTTATTTATTTATTTATTTATTTTTATCACTGATGGATTATCAAATGAATCAGCAGAATATGTTTTGAGTCAGTGTCATCCATAGAACTTGAGTTTGTTTCGCTTTCTTGTCGTGATTGTAGTGTTTTGATGTGTTAATTAGGTTTAAGTTCTGATATTGTATAGCGTAACTACTGCTACAGGATTTTTGAATGGATGCTTGGGGATTGAAACATGTTGGAGCTATAAAGCAGAGTAATATATTTTATACTGTAGCTTTTTCATGTGGTTGATTACATTTTCTCTACAATTTCAGTGCAGAAAACATAAAGATCTTTATCTATGGATGGCAAAGTGTCCCAACGGTCCATCAGTAAAGTTCTTAGTAAATGCTGGTAATTCTTTGCTCCAATCTCAAATGATATTGTTATATGAGATTTATAATGCCTTTAGGCTTTTGCTTGTTTTGCTGGTTTTCTAAAATGTATATGTTTATGGAAAACTTTTTCACCTTTCATTCTCTTAAATACACTGAGAACCGTTACCTGATTATTGATATTTGATTTGTTTATCAAGTGCACACCATGGAAGAATTGAAGCTTACTGGAAATCATTTGAAAGGCTCACGCCCTCTTTTGACTTTCTCGACTAATTTTGATAAAGACCCCCACTGGAAACTTTTGAAAGAGATAATCATGCAGGTATGCTGATCTTCCTTCCACCCTATAAAGTGATCTTCCCTAAGAAGCATGGACACGGACACGTGACACGACACGAGTACGACACGGACACGCTGACACGTTAATTTTCAAAAAATGTAGGACACGACACGTGAGAGACACGCATGAAATATGTAATTTTATATATTTATTATATGTTATATATATGAATATATCATTAAAAAGATAATAAAAAATACAATATGATACTAATTCCTATAAATTTATATAGTTTTTGTTTTATTATTGTATCTTAAGTTGTTTTGTTCAAACTTATAATTAATTTCACATATGTCTAATCGTTAGACACTTGTATTTAAGCGATGGACACGTATGTCCTTCAAGTGTCCAAAGAGTGTTCAAGTCTTTAAAAAAATTTAAAAAATAGGACACGTTTTGAAGAGTGTCGGACACGTGTCCTGAGAGTGTCCAAAGAGTATCGGTGTCCGACACGGATACGACACGAATACGTTACCTTCTTAGAAGTGTCCGTGCTTCTTAGGATCTTCCCTTTTTTACTCTTATTTTCTTTCTTTCTCTCTTTCTCTTGGGTTTGTTTTCAGAAGGTGTATATCTTATCCGTATACCTGCAAAGGGGAATGGTAGAATTGAAGTCTTCAGTTTTAAGTTCTTCAAATCTGGCAGTATCTTTTGTCTAACACATGTCTAAAGTCATGTCATTAAAGGAATTTAAGATATTCAAAATTTGTTTAGGGATGTCATATCATGATGACCTCCATATATTTGATTCAGTGTGACTAAGCTTATGATGCATTGCATCAGACTTCAATGATAGAAGTACAAACAAAGTTACATCCAACATATGGGATGCATATTAAAAAGGTCATTGCACAAGCACTTGCTGTATGACCAAGTTATATTAATTGTGAACTTAGACATCCGTTCTCTTAAAAATTGAATATTAACTTGACGTTTAGAAAGATCATTTTGTAATTTTGTGTGTGATTCCAATCACTTGTTTGTTCAAGTTTCTTTTCTTGATATACTATGTATTTTTTGTAATTTTGTTGCTTGTTTTCTTTTGTCCAGATATTTGGAACTCCAAAAGATCACAGGAAGTCTAAACCTTATCATGATCACATATTTGTTTTCTCAATTGTTGATGACCACATATGGTTTCGGAATTACCAGGTTGGTTGCATTTCATAATTGTATACCTTATTGTATTATTGAGTACATTAAATTATGGAGGCATTCAACTGGTGCATGTTCTTCGCATGTAGTTTACATCTTATTTGATGGCAATTGCTGACACGTGCATGTATAATTGCTTGCCTGCTTTAAGATCCTTGATTGTGGATCTTGTTTTTTCCCTGTAGGGTGGGGTGTGGGAGGGTGTGGGAGGGTGGGGGTGGTGCTCAAAGTTCGTAGCATGTGAGCTGCAGTAATTTCTTTCCCTTGGGAGTTATGTGAAATAGTTTTTTTAGACTAGCCAGAATAAAGATCTTGTGTAGATAATTAGGTTGGACAGTTTTACATGGGGGCTTCTTAAGTTTATAACCATCAACAATCATATCAGATGTCAGAACAGATTTTTAAAGATTTAAAAGGTCCAGTGAGAGCCTCAGAATGAGCATCACAAATTGTGAATACTAAATTTTTAAGAATCAATCAGATTAAAAAGACAGCTTCATCATTTGCTGCTATTAAAATACTTCCGATATCAGGGTCACAATTTGTATCGATAACTAAATTATTTGAATTAATATATTCTCCATGATGATCAACAATGATTACAATGTTTAGTAACCCTGTATATATTCTAAATGCCCCCACGCCCCCCCCCCAATCGGTGAGATAATTTTGTTTTTAACTAGCTGCATCTCTTTTCGGAAGATGGTTGTCTGCCCACTTTTTGTTCCTTTCTCAACTCCTTGAACTGATCAAGTCTTTAGTGGGGCTATTTATTATCATACCACTGGGCCATTTTTTATTATCAACATACTAACATTGAGCCTTAAGAATTGTATTTTTGTTTGGTTGGAGAATGCTACTAATTAACCGCGAATCATGTTTTTGGAAACAGTATTAAATTGGTAGTTTTGATGTTGGTCTGATCTGACAAAATATTAAAGCATCTGTGTTGTTTGGGATTAATTTATTGTGGATGACCATAATTTGTTGTTTGTAATTTATGAAATGATTAAGAAAACTTTGTTTCTTTACTTCAAACGATTAGGTTAGGTCTTTTGATTATAGTGTATTCATCTGATACCATACCATCTGTTTATCCGTTTATATTGATGTTGCTTTTCTTCACTTCTCAAAACAGATATCTGTTCCTCATAGTGAAGCGGATAAAATGGACCGAGGGGGCCTAGATAAAATGACCCTTGTTGAGGTTTGCAGTGATAATCCTTGAATTAATTCACATTATAATGTAATTTCAATGTATTGTAGGTTAATTTCATCTCTTTTTTGCGAATATGTATAGGTTGGTCCAAGATTTTGTTTGAATCCTATCAAGATATTTGGAGGCAGCTTTGGAGGCCCAACACTGTATGAGAATCCATTTTATGTTGCACCCAACCAGGTAAAGTAGATTTCATTCATCCAGTTGTTTTGTTTTCCATACCATAGATTGTAATTTGTGAAGTAACTTTGCCTTTGCCCCTAAATAGCATGATAGTTGTGGTTAAATCAAGCCCATTAAGTACTCTGTAGCTGACAAATATCTCAATGGATCCAATAAATAAATGTTTTATAGCCTTGTGGCTCAAGCTAAGTTGATGCTAGAGTGATTATCTTGGTGGAAATGATTCCGAGTTTTTTGTTTGAAGATGTTGCAACCCACTTTGACACATCTCTTAAGACTGGATTGATCCTTCAATGCAATGATTGGACATCTTGGCTGATCTTACCATTAATGTTTTGATACTCGTTTTCATGCTTTCCAGATTCGTGCATTAGAGAAGAGGCAGAAGGCTGGTAAATACGCAAAGAAAGTTAAAGCCAAAACGAGGAGGAAGATGCATGAGCTATCAAATCCCCTGGAGCCTGATGAGTTTGCCGATATGTGGAAGGAAAAGGAATGATGAAACCAGTCACCCATGTGAACCTTGTTATTGTGATCGATCGATATGATTGTCCTCTCTTTTGGGTTAAAAAAAAAAGAGGGGGGAAGGAATCTTTTAAATCAGCTTGTATGCAACATGAGATGGAAATTTTTTTCTGAGTAAAATTTTGGTCTTCAGTGTATCAGTATGTATTTTCATATTGAAATATGTTTCATCATATGAATTTTCGTTTCTATATGGTTCTAGTACTTTTGAAGTTGTTTGGTGAAGGATGAATTCTACTAGATCCATTTGGCTTTGTCATCTGGAACATTAATTACTCTTTTATTTATGTGTTAATTATTTTGAAATCCGACAATATTTTACTCTTAACTACGAAGGACATCACAAACTGAAATGAAAAACATCAACAATGCCCAGAAGAGTGTCAATGTAATTCCCACTTGGTCCACCTTGAAGTGAACCAAGTGGGCACCAAGTGGGACTTTACACAATTTGGGTTGGTATATAGTAAGTTCAAATTCTGAGGTCAGGCTTTGCTTTGGGCTTCTTTTAAACACTAAAATCACTCTACCAGGGCCCATTGTTGGAAGTTTTGAAAACTTTCATGAAATGTTCGACCCCTTTGACCAACCTTATCTAGGTAAACTATCATATATGTAGAATGAGATCTTTAACTTCTGATTATTACACTGATCGTTTATGAGAGGGCAATGTTTTCCCAATTCTTGACATCAAGACAAGCACAAGTTAGGCTTCCTTCAGAATTTTTAGATAACAACTTCCTTTTATTTTTATTTTTAATTTTGAGCAACTCTTTTTTTTTTTTTTCTTCTTTTTTTGTTTTTTGGTGGTTAATAGAACAACCTTTTTTGTTTGTTTGTTTTTAAGTAACAACTTCCTTTTATTTGTTATTTGTGACATTTCAACCACCTTTCGAAATTGTGAAAATCAAGTGCTAAAGATTGCTGATTTGTTAGGGGCCCATTTTCGGTTCTTTTCTACTTTTTCATTATTGGCACTTGGTGTGTGTATATGTTTGGGATTTTTTGAGAATGATAAACTCGTCCATGAAAACTCTCCATAGAAATTTTACTTCCTTGCACGTTATTTATTTATCTGTTTTGGATCAATTATACTAGTGTTTTTTAAAATTAAAAAAGAAAATACATTGACCATTGACTTTTATAAATTTAACATAATTACATTCAACTCATATATAATTTTAATTCAGATAATACTCAACTCATTTTTTTTGAGTAATTCGATAGTCATATGATAAAAATAATATTGTCATTTTTTTATACAAAAAAAAAATTTACCATACTACCCCCACATGAAAGAGGGGCGGCAAAAAAAAAAAAAAAAATCAAATCAGGCTTTTTACCAGGAAAGACAAAGAAAGTTGGAAAAAAAAAATAAAAACATTTTTTTTGTTTTTTGTTAAAATATTTTATGAAAATAAATTTAAACTATATTTGATAAAAATATTTTTAAAGAATTTTTTTTTTTGTTATGTATTTGGTTATGCTTTGAGTGTAGAGTTGTGAAAGTAGTATGGAATTTCGAGTTATGTGTTTAGTTAAGAGTTACCTTAATAATTTATTAATTGAGTTTCATTTTATGTGTTTGGTTACGACTTGAATGTAGAGTTGTTTTTAAATTTAAAATATTAACATTTTAAATTATTTAAATTTCGATTTATGTGTTTGGTTATGAGTTACCTCAATAAGGCAATAAATATAAAAATAAATAAGGCAAAAAATAAATAATTAATGTATAAAAAAATAAATAAAAATAAATATGGCAAAAAAATAAATAAATAAGGCAATGATATTATTGTTACGATTTAAATTTAAAATATTACGATTTAAATTTTAAAATATTACAATTTAAATTTAAAATATTACGATTTAAATTTTTTAAATTTTAAAATGTTTTATAAAAAAAAAAATTCAAACTCTATTTTATACAAATATTTTTAAATATTTTAATTTTTTTGTTATGTATTTGGTTATGATTTGAGTGTAGAGTTGTGAAAGTAGTATGGAATTTCGAATTATGTATTTGGTTATGAGTTTTAAAATAATTTCTTAATTAAGTTTTGTTTTATGTGTTTAGTTACGATTAGTGTAGAGTTGTTTTTAAATTAATATACTAACATTTTAAATTATTTAAATTTTTTGAATATTTAAATTATTTAAATTTTTACGATTTAAAATTTTAGATTATTTAAATAAAATTAAATATTATTTAAATATTTAAAATAAAATAAAATAAAATTAAAATTGAATTATTTAAAATACACAAGACAATAAAATAAAACCTCACTTTTTATCATTTTACAGAAAATGTAAACAAATTAAAATTAGAATTAGAATAAAAATAAAAACCACATGAAAAAAACCATTTGTAAAAAAAAAACAAAAAAATAAAAAAATAAAAACTTAGCCTGGGTTGGTGACGTCACAGTACAATGGACAGCCGCCGAAATAAAAACAAAATTTAATACCAGGGGCAGTTTAGTAATATTACATATGGACACCTCACCAATAAGTCAAAAAGCTAAAAAAGTCAAAAAATCCTTCCCAAATCAGACTTTTTAGCCCAGGCTAAAATAACAAAAAAAACTAAAAAGTCAAAAAATCAACCCACTTTCCAAAAAAAAACTAAATAAATCCTTAAAAGTGAACGGTTCAAATTACCAAAATCGTTACCAAATAGGCCTATTAGCCCAAACTAGATGGTCATCTTAAAGAGAAATCAAACCTTTATAAAAAAAATTAAAAACAAAAACAAACAAACATATAATTAGAATTGATACAATTTTAATTTTTAATTTTTTTAAAATGAAGTGAGTCACAATTTCATTATGAATAAAAGCAATAAAGGCCATAACTAATGATTAAACTGATTTTATTAAACGTAACATGTTAAGTACTCATTTAAATGCATATACACTTTTTCAAGATTAATAGGTGTTTTAAAAAATAGATATATGTGACTTAATGTTTTAAAATTTATCATTAACATGTAATTATTTTTTAAAATAGTAATATTATAAATTTAGCCTTAACTACTCAAAAATTATTTAGAAGAGCGAATTACACTAATGGTCTCTATAGTTTGAGTCTTATGTTACTTTGATCCTTGACTTTTCAATTGTGACACATTTGATCCTGAATTTTAAATTTTATTTTAAATAAGGACAATTGAATATACCATTGCTCAATTTTAAGGGCAAAGTTGTTAATTTGATAAAATATAAACTAATTTGATAAAAATAAATGTCAAAAAAATATTTTTAAATTTTAAAAAATTATTTGTATCTACTAAAGATAAAATTATGTAAAATTGATAAATTTTGTAGATATTTATTTATTTATTCATTTTATCAAATTAATTTTTATTATGTGTTTAGATGATGATCATGTAATGTAATGTAATGAGTGGTTGTTTTTTATTTTCATTAAATTAGTTTTTATTTTTTCAAAAGTCAAATATAGTGGCAACTTTGATATCATTATTAAACTAATCCATTAAATTAAAAAATCCAAAACTAAGAACCTTTCATATATTAAAATATATCAATTACACATTAAAAGTCTAACAACTACCTATTACATGATCATTATTTGAACATATAATAAATATTAATTTGGTAAAATAAACAAATAAATAAATGTCTAAAATATTTATCAATTTTACATAATTTTATCTTTGGTGAGTAGAAATTATTTTAAAAATTCAAAAATATTTTTTTACTTTTGTTTTTGTTAAATTAGTTTATATTTTATCAAATTGACAACTTTATCCCTGAAATTGAGTAATGGTATCTTTAATTGTTTTTATTTAGAATAAGATTCAAAATTCAGGATTAAATGCATCACAATTGAAAAATCAGAGACCAAAGTGACACGAAAGGGATTGTTAGTGTAAGTTGCCCTATTTAGAATTATCATCTTGTAATTCAAATTTATTTTACATATAGACCATACACTATTCAAATTTAAGCACTATTTGGCAAAATCTACCAAATTGCATTTTTGTTTCTTTTTATTTTTTTTTTAATCACATCACGTCTTTATTTTTTATATACTTTTTATAAAAAATTAAAAAATATACTTATTTAGATTTAGGTATTTCTAAACACTCTTTTAATCTCCGCTGCATATCACTCACCAAAAAAAATTAAATTAATCTAATAAAAGAGAATAATTATTTATTGTCCCAAAAGTATTGATATGACATTGTGCCTGTTTGGTGCAGCTTAAAAGCTGCTTATTTCAGCTTTCAGCTTAATTTAAGCTATTTTGATGTGTTTGGTTTAACTTATAGCTTATAACTTTTTGGAAGCCAGAAATCAGCTTATTCTTTGAGTGGGGCAGGAAATACTTAATTTATAAGTCAGAAATCAGTTTATGTTCATAGTTATAAGCTATAAGCTGTTTAGGCATAGCCTATAAGTATTTTCCCACAGCTCTACCAAACAGGGCCATTATCACAAGTCAATCAAAGCTAAATAAATATTGATTTGTAACAATACCAGATCAAACATGGAATAATTTTTAGAGAAATTACATCCCAAACATATAAACGTGCAGGTCATGCTTGCACCTGCACAATCTTTAACTCAAAAATGATTTAGAACTTTAAATAACGAGATCTAAATTCACTATTAGTAAGATGGAAAATTAAAAAAAGAGAAGAAAAAAGGCATAGCACACACTCTGATAATAGGTGAGATCCATTGCTATATCATTAATGATAGCACTAGTTAGTAGTTTTTAGTATTATTGATCTTTAACTCATACCTCATCATAAAATTATTTATACTCCACATATTTTTGTCTAAGGTAAATTACACTGACACCCCCTTGAGGTTTATGTTTATTACATTTTTCTCTCTCACATTTTGGGAATCACATCTCTCCCCTTGAGGTTTAAAGTTTTATTACAGATTCCCCCATCAGTCCTTTTAATTTTTTCAAATACCAATTTTACTCTCATTGGGTAAATTACACTGACACCTCTCACATTTTAAAAATTGCAATCTCCTCCCTAAGGTTTAAAATAGCATTACCAATTGCCCTCTTGGTTAGATGGAAAAAAAATTCATTGAAAAAAAAAATTGATTGAAAAAAAAAAATTTAGTAAATTTTTGTTTAAAAACCAACGTAAACTCATCTTTTGAATTTACGTTTTTTTCTCAAATTTACAAACTGAGACAACCATTTGTAAATCAAAAAATATCAAACAAGTTTTTATGACAGTTTTTAAAATTTTTGTAAATATAAATTGAAAATTAAA